GCAGCACCCTGATTTTATCACACATATCACACAGTGGGGTGATTAAAATGATTACTAATTAAGAAAAAGGTTGTGAATTTTTTCAATAATGTTTAGCTTTCAGTGAAAGTTTCTTGGTTTTGTTGTTGTTTATCCTTCTAGTTTTATAGTAGAATAAAATTCTGAAAAAATATTGATGTGCTTATGTCAAAAATATTGGACATATAATAAAATACTATCTTAAAAATTGTTCGAGACGCTTCTGCTGAATATCTTGAGGTAACTGAGACTTTTATTTTGATAAAGTCTTCCGGAAGTGATTTCTTCAGCTTGACGGAGTGATTCAGCCGCAGAGAAACGGAGCTCAGCTTCATCCCTGCGCAGTTTCTGGTCCTGCCCCAGAAACCAGCGGATCAACGCCGCAAAGGAGATACCGGACCAGGCCGAACGGAACCGAACCCCACCAGGCTGATCCGAACTGAGCCGAGCTGAGCCAGGCCAGAATACAGACAGAGACAGACAGGCGGCTTCATCTCCTCCTGCAGCCTGAGCGGAGTCTTCCTCACCGGTACGAACCGATTCTGGTGGTCTGACCCATCTGCGCGTGTCTGTGTGTCTCTGTGCGCGTGCGGGCCACTCCCTTTCATCTGCTCTACCTGCAGACGCACTGGTCAGGTGATCAGAGCATCCTTCATCTGACCGGAAACACACGTGTGTCCTGAACACACGGGGTGAGGTCATAAGTGTGTGTAAATGTATGTGTGTGTGTATAATGGAAAAATCCGGTGGGTTTTAAGTGAGATCCGTGCAAATCAGCTGTAAATCAAAGCCTGTATGAATGATGATCAATAATTAGCCTCATGTGGTGACCTGGGGCCTAAAGAGCCAAATAGAGAGAAAAAACTGTATTTTCAATAAACACGGTATGCATTTGTTGTGATTTAATACAGCAGAAGGGCCGCTTTCCTAATCAGCGATAATATCGTGGATAAACAGAAGATTATATTCCAGTTTATGTATTTTTCATATTTCTTTATTTATGGGTCACATTAAAATCTATTTGGTTTAAAGAAATATTAAGTGAAAACAAATGTAGATCTTAAAATCAAGGATAAAGGAAGTGTATGAAACTAAATGAGTAAAAATAGTAACATATTTAAAGAAAAATACATGTAAAGGATTGGAAATAAATGTGTTCAGTTTTCTTTTAAAGCCAGAATTTTTAGTGACTAGAATTGAGTAGTAACATTTACTTGAGTAACTTTTTGGAAAAATATACTTTTAGACTTTTTTTTACTATGTTGTACATTTTACTTTGAGTAATGTTATGAAGTATGACTCCTGCTTGAGTAATTTCTTGGACGGCTACTTTCTGAAGCATTTTAATCTGTTTTCTGTTTAACATGATGTGGAGAGAAGAGATTTAAAGGTAGAAATAATGAAATGATGTTCAGTCAGTGTGTTTCTGTCTGTACATAAAGTAAATGCTTATTTTTCAGAGTCAGCAGAGATGAGAACATCCTGTTGGTTCCTCTTGATTAAACTGATCCAGGATCAGTGATGTGGGCTCAGTTTCTGCAGCGATCCAATATGGCTGCCTCAGCGCTGACAGTGTGTGTGTTTATCCTGCTGCTGGCTGAGATCAGAGGTCAGTATGAAGCACAACATCATCATCTTCATCATCATGAGCAGACAGAACAACAGGGAGCTGAACTCACTGCATGCAGCATTTATAGATCTGACATGGCTGTTTAATCTGTATCAGCTACTAACAGCTTTATTAACCCCACATCCTGTCTAAGATGTAATTTTTAAAATGACAAGAATAAAATCATAACATTATCAGAATAAAGACGCCACATAACCAAAGTTGTAAAATTTCATGAACGTGGTTTTAATGAGAAAAAAAGCTTTGATAAAATTATTAGGATCTGACAAATTTGTTCTTTTTTTACACAACCATTTCAAAGTCCTGGTACTTATAATAATTTGATGCAGATGTACTAAAATATTAAGTATTTCCTTATTTGTAAAACTGATACCAAACATCACAAGATGCTCAACATTTCTCATTTAATTTTTTAATTTTTGCATAGAAGTCCTCACAAAATTACTATTGCCATTGTCTTAATTCAGTCACAAGATTATGGCTTTATTCTACTAATTTAAGAAAAATATTTTTTTCTTCTGACTCTAATACTCTGTCCTAATGTCCAGAGAATTAAAGGAATTACTAAAAAAAAAAAACCCTTTCTTTAATTTTCTTTAATTTCCTGATCTCTGTTGTTCAACTGAGATCCGAGTTTCAGTTTAGATAATGACAATGTCTGCAGTTCTTCTCCTTAAACTGATTTTGTTGATTCTTGGTGAATAAAAACCTGTAAAAATAGATCAGATGATGAGTTTTTGTCATGCCCTGACTTGTTGTGACCCTGTGAGATTTTTGCTGTTTTTCTTCACTGACACGTTGATTTTGTAACAAACTTTAACATCAGTCTCTGTAACAGACTCTGATGTTTGGAACTGAAGCTGCAGGAGCATTTTTTCCTTCACATTCCTGAAGTGTTTGTTCAGTTCCTGCAGCTCCTGATGAACATGCTTCGCCTCACTTCCTGTCTGTTCCTGATTCCTGACGTTCAGAGAGACGTCGGGCGGTCTGGGCCGGTACTGTTGTTGAGCAGATGGTGCTGATAAGATCCCTCCACCCTCGGCTCATTGTGACTGCCAGCAGACTAAACACTGAGACTCTGCTCGCTCTGATGAATTGCTGAGAGCTGATTCACACACACCTGATTATGTTCCTCCAGGAACCTCAACAGAACCTGAATTAGTTTGTTGTAGTTTGTAGTTTTAGCCATATAATGGCAGTAAAACACAACACATTGTTCTCTAAGGTGCTTCTAACATTCAGTTATATAATTTTGCTGTAATAAACTCATCTGTAACAAGATTTCTTTGCAAGTCTGCACTGCTCTCCCAGCCTTCTCATTCTGCTGCTCCTGTAAGTTTACTTTGCTGACAGTTGTAAAACTTTATCACGGTTTTGTTGATGGAATAACTTCAGGAACAGAGAAGTAGGTTGTGAAGTTGACAGTTTCTGTTAAAGTGGTTCTCTGTAGGAATTGTTGCTCCATATAAATTGTTGCACCGTATAAAGTGTCCAGTGAGACGTGATGTTGGATCATCAGATTAACAATGTTGATGTAACGTAACCATAGCAGCCTCAGGCCTCCGATGTTCCTGCTCGCTCTTCAAACTCCGATGCTGTCAGTGTTCATAGTCGCTGAGACCTCAGAGTGTTTGGCGTTCGTCAAAGTTCCTGTTGGTCCTTAATATTGTAACACTGCTATGTGGGGTAAATACATGTGTTGCCACAAAGTAGGAGATTGTGAGTGAAGAAAGAGCAGCACAACAAAAAACAAGAGCATGGCTCTCCAGACTTTTTATATAACCTTCATCCAATAGAACTACAAGAGTTTTCAGCCCTTACAAAAACCACCAAAGAAGAAACAAAACAACTCCTTTTAGAGCCATAGCATGATTTCTTAACCATAGATCAACATTAGTAAATAACTGACCCTGTATGTAACCACATTAATAAACTTAATTGCATAATTGCATCATCTTACAATATCAACTTCAGAATGAAAACAGTTTACCTGAAGGCTTCCTTATTGATTCTTAAATATAACTTTGAATAGATATTGATCATAACATTATGGCCTAATAATTTGCTAGTCCCACTAAGACTATCACCCCTCAAGTTATGACTTCACTAGCATCCTGGAGATGTGTTGTTGTATCTGGCACTAAGTCAGCTGCTGGTTCTTCAGGTAAGGTAAGTTTAAAAGTGGAAACTCCATGGATTGGGTTTGTTTGTCCAAAGCATCCTACAGGTGCTTGATTGTTACAGTGCTGAGAATCGGTCCAGAGTGCTGGTGGCTGGATGTCCAGAGTCTATAAGAAAAGAAAAAACATACATCAAAAAGTCAAAATCTGAAGAAAAAAAAGAATTGCCTCAAATCCAAGCTTCTTATATCATGGCTCATATATTTTTCCCCTGAGTAAAACTTTTGATTGGTTTGAAGTTGCTAGAATATGAAGGTCAAACATCTCAAATTTGTTCTTGTGCTTCTAATTTATGTTGTGGTAAGTAGGATGGATAATCCTGATAGAGCACACTGCCATCAGAAAGTACAGTTTTTATTAGAGAGAGTAGTTATGTTAAGTATGTGGTGCTTCTTAAAGCATAACTCATTTCTTCTAAGTTAAGTGATTTGACACACCAGTGTTCATTTTATTGTTGGTGTGTTAAGTTGGGAACAGTGGTGAGAATGGGTACTGTGACTGGTTTTAAGAGCCATATGCAACCATCTACGATGCACTGTGTTCTCTAACACCTTTGTATGACAACTAGCATTATCTTCTTTATCTGGAAACCATGGATCAGCCTAAAGACCAGCAACAGCTAGCCTTTGCTGTTTTTAACGGTTATAATGTTATGGCTGACTGGCATCATCCTCTGTTTGCAGGTTTGCAGTTGGAGGACCAAGAGGAGAGAATCTGTGCTTTTGCCAGCAGCCTGAAGGGGGCGGAGTCTGTTTCCACCAATGAGCTACGAGGAGAGGTTCAGGAGAACGGCACGATACGCTGCAGTCACGGCTCCCGCTGCTATGGATTGTGGGAAAGACGCGCAGACGGAGAGATGCAGCTGCTGAACCAAGGTCAGGAACGTTCAGGAACGCTTTTCCATTCAGTTTGAACCAGAAGGTCTGGCCCAAACTGTGTTCTGGTTGGCCCAGAAGGTTGTTGTTTTTCAGTAACAGAAAATAGAGTTTGGGAAACAAACAAACAATTTATGTAACTCCCATTTCCTCTGAATATTAGATTATCTGACAGTCAGTTGTTCCTCTGAGTTTTTATGATTTGAAGCATCTTGTTTAGTGTTTTCTGATATATCTGTGTCGTCGACGGAAGCAGTTTATAAAATCCAAACCTTTAAAGCCACAAAGTGAAAATAAGGGGAAGAAAATTATTTTCTTGCCTAAACTGATTTTAATCTGACAGTTAAGGCATATTTATATATACATACACACATCTCCTTGTTCTCAGACTTTAAAAAAGTTAGGGGTGAATTTTATCAGGAGAAAAAGCCCCTAAGTCTTAGTCGTCTGTAGCTTCAGAGCGACTGTAGCTGCTCTGAAGCTACAGACGATCCAACTACTGTATGATCCTAATGTGATTAAACTCCTCTATTCATATCAGGAGTAGAGTTTGTTATTGTTATCACAAAAATAAGATATCATGTAAAATATAACTTTATTAGAAGTGGTGGAAATTAACTGGACAGTAAAGAAAAAGCTATCAAACCTCAACGGTCTTTGTAGCTGCTGCTCAGAGTCTTGACCTCAGGTTTACTCACATTAAAAGGAATTATGGGATGGAGTAATCTGATTTCCTCTCATTCAGGAAGCTCCAGTGTTCCTGTGGAGGAAACAAAGGAGATAATAAGAGAACGACTGTAGCTGCTTTCATTTCAGCTTGAAATCTCTGCTGGCGTTTAGGAACTTCCAGGTCATTCCACTCAGTTTTTGTGGAATTGTAGAGCAAATATATTAATATCCCTGAAACATTTTGCTTTGTTACAACCACAAACATCAAAAGTATTTTATTTGGATTGTGCATGACCGAAACAAATAAATCCCAGGAGTTTAACACATTCATTTCAATTAATTAGTTACATAGATTTTAATGCATAAACATTTTTAATTAAGTTAATTGCATTTATTTTAACATACATCGTTGGCAGCCAGAATCTTTGTATTTGTTCTATTCTGACACGCAAACAACATCCGAAAACAACAATGATGAGCAACAAAGCTGCTTCTATTGAGTATGGGTCTAATAGCACCACTCTGATGAGTGAATATCCTTAACACCCGATTAAAAATAATAAATATCTTTATTGCTGAGCTGACTTGTCTTCTTATTCAACACTTTAGCAGCAAAGATGGTTTTTGAATACAAAATGTTGCTAATAGTTTTCGATTAAAATATTATTAAAAACCCTGAAATTAACTGGATTAAAAATTTTACTTGAGTTCCATAAATAATTGAATTACACTGAAGAGAAAGGAACATATGGGTCTCAACTAAATTCTGAAAAAAGTATACCAAGACAGTTTCACTGAAATTATTGCTATAATCCTTTTGAGGTCGATCCCAACCAGATTGGCACATGTAGAAACAGACATTTATTAATTTAATTTAGCAAATCAAGCTCAGTCAGACTGGGTGGAGCATCTGTTGGGTTGTCCTGCTAGAAATAATCCTCCACCCCGTCTCTTTTACAGCCTCCATTCAGCCTCTTTCTAAATACAGGACAGAGGCGATGGGTTTAGGGAAATGTGGCATTTTGCCTGTCAAACAAAAAGTAAAACAGTCATCCCATCTGACCAGAAGATATTCTTCCACATATTTGGTTTCTCCTAATGGCTTGCCAATTTACAAACTGAGCTTCTCATAATTTTCTTTCAGTATTGCCTTTCATCTTTGATAAAGGCCAGATTTGCTATGTGCATGACTAATATCTGTCCCACCAACAAACAGTGGTCTTGCCTGTGGATGTCTGTTGCCATGGTGATCTGTGAAGACAGTTTGTTGCACTTAGTTTCATCTAAGATTAAGGAGTATGAACAGAAATACGCACATCACATCTTATGCTATTATTTCCAAACATAAATATTTTAAGGTATGCATCAATGTTTCATTTCACAATTCTTCAGATCTTTGTGTTGACCTCACATAAAATTTATATCACTTAAGCTTATTATCACAGTTTCAGAAACTGCAGTTAAAAAGCTTTGCATAGCACCGTAGGTGCTGTTGCAGCTGATTCAGGATCTGAACAGTAGTGCAGAGGTAATCCATCATTTACCAGCTCCTGTTGTCAGAACTGTTTTATTAAAGACCCACTTCTCCTACTGGACTTTATCTGGTATAAAACATGAAACTTTAATGTCAGAGTTTATCTTTTTTGGAATTGTTTTGTTACTCTGCATTTGTTTAACCTTTACTCAGATCTGCTCACAGCCTCCAGTAAAACTGAGACTCTGCAGCCACTGAAACTTTCAATATTGATAGAAAGAGAACAGGTCAGCCATTTTTAACAGTCCAGCTGAATAAACTGTTTCCCTCCAGGTTGTTGGATGTATGTGGGCCACCACCAGGAGTGTTATGGTGACCGCTGCGTCCTGGTGACAATGGCTCCATCTCAGATGCAGAAAGCCAGCTACCATTTCTGCTGCTGCAGCCACGACCTCTGCAACAGTAATTATACCGAAGCTCCGCCCACTGCTGACACGCCCAGCCTGAGGTCGATGAGGAGGGACGACCTGAACCTCAATCCCACAGGTGAGATCCGACCAGACAAGTGTTCATCACTACTGACTGAAACAGGTTCAGATCTAAAAAGAAACATTTTACTGCATTTGTTTGAATAAATGTCTGGTGGAATGTTCTTCTGTAAAAATCCTTTTCTGACCCGGTTAGTGATATATTTGTCACTAATATATCAGTGACAAATTTGCTCTTTAAATTCTTGTGGGTAGAAAGAGGCTGTTTATTTGTTGAAGCATGAAAAACAGTGAATTTATCAAGTTTAAGATGACACTTTCAGTTGAAGTAAGAAATCCTAGAACATTAGAGGGCTCTTTGTGCTTTAGCTGTCAAATATTGGAGTGACTTAGTTTCACAGTTGCAAACACAAAAAAAACAAATATTTATTTCATTTTTATTTACATTTTTTTTGTAAGTTGGAAACAAATTATTGAAAAGGGTTTGCTTATTAGCTGTCCAAATCTTTGACCTCGTCTGTGTTTGAATCACATTTGAACCTTTGAAAATGAAGTTTTAAACCCCTAAATTAAAAAAAATATATTTTTCTAACCCCTGCTCATCCTGGATGGATTTTACCTCCAGCTCTGAAAACACAGACTGTTGTTCATATTTATGTTTTCTGACCACTGGTTTATTTGGGATCTTCTAAACTTCACAGGAAGTGACAGATGCCAGACAAACATGTCTTATATGAACTTACATGAACACCTTTCCACAGATCGTCAGATGACAGCGAAGGAGACGACTCTCATTGCCCTGGCAACTGTGGCTATAGCAGCACTTCTCATCATGGCGCTGTTCCTGGGATACCGGATGATGAAAAGTAAACACACTGAAACATCTTTTATAATAAACAGGAAAAAGAAAACAATGTGTAGAGATCACAGATTACAGATACTGCTGTGTTCGATTTAAAAAAATGCTTTTGTTATAAAAAGCAAAGCTTATTAAGAAGCAGAAGCACCAAGAAGGAAAAAATATCCTGTGTATTCCTGAAATAAATCCCCAAATAGGTCTTGAAAATGTTAGCATATACAGAGACACATTTAGAAGATACATATGATGAATAATAACAGATAATTGATCTTCTGTTGTGTGGATCCAGGGAAGCATAAACACGGTCTGTCTGCTGTGAATGCAATGGAAGCAGCAAACTCTGACTCAGCTGTGGACCTGGACAACTTGAAACTGCTGGAGGTATTTTGATTTTCAGTTATTGTGAGCTAAATAGTTTTTTTAAGAACACAATATGTTTTCCATGTAGAAAATATTATGTTATGTGCAGATAGTGATCAAAGATTAACTCCTTATCAGCATTGGAGAAAATATATATATTTTAAATGATCCTCTTCCTCTCTGACAGCTGATTGGTCGAGGCCGTTATGGAGCGGTGTATCGTGGCTCTCTGAATGAGCGATGCGTTGCTGTTAAAGTTTTCAGCTCTGCTAACCGCCCAAACTTCTCCAACGAGCGCTCCATCTACCGCCTGCCTCTGCTGCAGCAGCACGACAACATCGCCCGCTACCTGGCCGCCGACGAGAAGACGACAGGCGACGGGCGACCAGAGTTCCTGATCCTCATGGAGTACTACCCACATGTAAGTTACAAACAACTGGAAAAAACTAAACAAATATCAGGAAAATCTGAAAAAGCAAACATAATATGGGGGATTATTAAAAAGAGTTATAGCAGAAAGTTTAAATTTTAGATTTAAATGAAATTCTCATATTTACATCAATAAAATATGTTCAATCTCCACAGAATTCAACCAGATTTTATTGATGAAATGGGAGATTTTCATCCTAAAATGCATAAAAATTTATAATTAAAAACAGATAAACTTCTAACAAAATCCTGGTCATTTTTGGAGTTTTTAAATTGACTCTATAGATTGGAACCAGAGAAATTCCTGTGTCCTGCTGGCATAATTTCCTGTTTGAAAATAGTGGAAGGTTTGGTGTTAACCATTACTTATATCTTTTATGCTTTGTATCCCATAAATCTTAAATAAATAAATAAATCAATCAATCCTATTGACATGCAATAACCACTGCAGCCTGTAGGGGTGCTGTGGTTTGGATATTCTATTCCCACCCATGGAAACATGTCTGTGGTCCACCATTCCTCCAGTCTTTGTGCAGGGAAATGGTGCCGTCTTGTCTGTTTCCTGCCTGGAGCCGCCAGCCACACACACTCACACACATACTTGTCTTTATGTGATTGTAAGGGCAGTTGATTAAATGTCATATTTCCAGGACTAGAAGCAAAAACTTGACCTAAACCAGCTTGGAAACAGTTTTAAAAACAAATCTATATAAAAACCAGTTTCACCGGGAATATCACAAATCACATAACGTGTTACGTGAGAGTGAATAAAAACAAACTTTAAAAAAATAGTTTAAATCATCAAACTGAACCTATTTAACTGTAACATGAATACAGATTAACATGAATAAACTTTATTCATGTTAATCACTTAAAAACAGAAGCAGGTGTCTTTATTACTTTACAGAGGCTGAACTATGTTATTTTTTTAACCCATATATTTGCAAATCTTTCCTTATGGTTTGTAACTTTAGGAGGGCTGAGCCCCACAACATGATTAAATCTGTCTCAGACTGTTATCAGTATGTTTGTTCATAAACACTAACAGAACATGGAGAGTGGAAATAAACAGGATGGCAGCTCTTTGTGAGGCGGTGTGACGTGTCTGTGGTGTTTTTCTGCATTCCTTTACAGCTGGCAGGCGTTCATTAACAACTCTGCTCACAGACTGTAACCCAGACTGTAAAAAACAAACACAGGAACACTTACATGTTTTTTTAAATATATGAGCTCATAACACAAACTCTCTGTTGAAATCTAGAAAAAAGGAAAAAATTCTGCTGGAAATTAAACCATAAACACTTAAAACAGAGGGGATCAGTCTACATCCTCCTGGAGAAATACAAATATTTAGCTCTTAATAAACAGCTTTAACCTTCTTCTCTTCCTACAAATGTAGCAGCAGCTACTGATTCATTTATGGTCTTACACAAATCTCAAACTGGTTCCTGCACCTGATTTTTCTTTCAACTAAAAAATGTTCATTATGGTTTATCTGTTATTCATCTCACTGCTTAAAGCTGAACTAAAAACAAATGTAGTTTTCACAAATGGATACCGAACGCCTTAAACTGTTCTTAAATAGTACTGAACAGCACAGCAAGAGCCAGCTAAGTTCTGACATTTATTTCTCTAAAAATAACACTAAAATAATAAAAAAGACACTTTAATTGGTAAAAATATGCAGGTCTTTCATGTAGGGAGAAAAGAAAACTGTTTTCTGGGAACAAATCCAGTAAAAAAAAGAATCTTTGCCTCAGTTCAGAGACAGTTGGCAGTTTTTCCTTTCCTCACATTGATCCAATCTGCCCAGTAATACTGGAGCTCTGCTGGTAGAAAGTTAACCAGTGATCAGGTTCTTATAAGTTTTGGACAACTCTAGACTTCAGATTTTAAAACTTTTCTTTGATGCCTTAAAAAGCCAGTCCATAACAGTCCATAAGTTACATGACTGTTTGCCTCCAATATTTGACATTAAATCTGTTTCCTAATGAGACATTTTGTTTCAGCCTTTAAGTTAATATGTTTGGGACAAGGTTTTTGTTTGGAAACAACCTGAGAAATCCTGACTTATTGACATAGAACTGAACCAAAAGAAACATGTTATTTTAAAATATGAGACTGAAAGAGAATAATTTTTATAATTAGAAAAATTGTTGGAAAGAGACTATTCAGTCTGTTTTAGTCAGTTTGAAGACCTGGAAGCTGCAGATAAACTGTTTTAATTGAATTTCAGGCTCAAACTAAATGAAGGTCTCCTGTAACGTCTGTAACGTTTGGATCCGTTTCAGGGCTGTCTGTCTCAGTACCTGTCTGTGCACACGGTGGACTGGCTGACCTGCTGCAGGATGGCCCACGGCGTCACCAGAGGACTCGCCTTCCTGCACACTGAGCTCTACAGAGGAGGTAAGAAGCTGTTATCACAGGCAGTTATAGAGGAACGCGTCAGTGATTCACTTTAAAGCTTCCACTAAGCTGACAGACGGTTTGGGAACTATTTTCTCTGGCGGATGCATCTCTGTGAGGAGCATCAGGGATAGCAGGATGGCTTGTGTGGGAGTCAGAAGAAAAACAATCTGTGTTTTCATAGTGATGAAGACAGACATCAGTCAGTGTGAGAATGTTTCTGACGGTTTGGATGAAACGGCGCTCAGCGTCAAAAAGATTCATTCTCACACACAGCATGCAGGAGGGAGATTTCGCAGAGTAGCACCATCTCCTCCATCTGCTTTGCTCTCTGTTTGGTGTATTTCTACTCTAGATTCACAAAGCAGATTGCACTAAGCTCATGCAGATGCTGACCTGCCTTTTGAGTCCAGCTTTTCACATCATATCAGTTTTTATCTGGTTGTCTATAAAAGCAAAAGATGCTTTTAGGTCAGGATAAAAAAGGATAGCCCTTAACTTGCAGAAGGTTCTTTTCAACTTGCTGTATGAAACAAGATTCTCTAAAACTAACAGAATATTTTGTATATTTTTTGCTAAATTAAAGATTAAATCATTTTCTCATCTGTCATGGGGGTTTTATTAGAAAAGTTTTGCTCTAGAAAATAAATAATTTTATCCTCGGACCTGAACTCACCTGTTGTGTCTGCTCCCACTCAGACCAGTACAAGCCCCCCGTGGCCCACAGAGACCTGACCAGCAGGAACGTTCTGGTCCGATCCGATCTGTCCTGTGTCCTCGCCGACTTTGGCTTGTCAATGAAGCTGACTGGAACCAGAACCTGTCGGCCCGGAGAAGATGAAACCATGGCCATATCTGAGGTCTGGACCGATGGTTTTTCCTGACAGGTGATTAAGCTGTCATCAGATGAGTGGGCAGAGCTAATGGGCTGCGTTTGCAGGTGGGGACGGTCCGGTACATGTCCCCGGAGGTTCTGGGAGGAGCGCTGAACCTCAGAGACTGTGAGTCGGCTCTGAAGCAGGTGGACGTGTACGCCCTGGGTCTGCTGTACTGGGAGAGCTTCAGGAGGTGCTGCGACCTGTTCCCAGGTAAATCCTGACCCCGCCTGCACTGTCTGACCACCAGGCGCTCAGACCGCCTCACTGACGGGTCGGTGTGTGTTCAGGGGAAGCCGTTCCAGAGTACCAGCTGGCGTTCCAGGTGGAAGTCGGGAATCATCCGAGCTTCGAAGACATGCAGATCCTGGTGGTCCGAGAGAAACACAGACCCAGATTCCCAGAAGCCTGGAAGGAGAACAGCCTGGTTAGTATCCCAAACTCTGTCTCTCTTTCCATTCTCTTACAGTTTATTCATCAAACTGAAGGCCTGTAGGCCAAAATCCAGCCAACGACATGCAGCCCTCTGGAGTGTTGTGGCCCTCAAGACTCTAAAAGGCCACAAAAATATTAGTTCAAGAAAACCATTTTCTGCTTAAATATTGTTTAATCACTTAAATCAGTTATTTGCATGTTGTCAAACTTCAATGTGAAAAGATGTTAAATATTTCATTTTATGAAGTACTCATTTAATGCAGAGGAAGCTTTAACAGCTTATCCGTACATTTTGCCGTTACCTGCCCTTTGAGGACATTCAAGATATTGACATGGCCCAAAATTAAAATCAGTTAAATAAATTAAAATCACTGCCTTACAGAATGGATTCAGGATTGAAAGGCCCATCATCACATCTGATTTAAAATTACTAAAACAGATCATAAATCTGATAGAGTTTTAGAACTGTCTGGTTGTTCAGGGCCTGCAGCTGCTGTTTCTCACCGACTCAGTTTTATGTGTTTACAGGCTCTGCGGGCTCTGAAGGAGACCATGGAGGACTGCTGGGACCAGGACGCCGAGGCTCGACTCACGGCTCAGTGTGCTGAGGAACGCCTGGCTGACCTCATCCTCCTGAGCCCCCATACGGCGCTGCACAACCACAGGTAGAGACCGAGGTCACACCTGGAACAGAGGAGATACAGGAACAGGAAGATATTTAGCTCTCCCTACAAACCACTATTAAGTCATTCTTCTTCTGTGGAAAGGTGTATCACCAACACCTGTAGGCATGAGATCCTATGAGTTTCTGAATCTTCCATTACCAACAGGACATCAAGTTTTTGCATCTCCATTAACTGGATCTCCAGTCCAATAAGCTCTTCAAACAGACAATGCTTGGTACTGGAGTTGCTGTTTGAACCATCAGATGTTTTCTTCCATCTGAGTATTTACAACAGTTCAAGATAACGTGGTTCATAGTTTCTATACTCTGACAGAAGTCAGAATATCAACATATTAACTTTGCTAACATGGATTTGTCCCTGCTATTAACATCACAATACCTTGGCTCTGCAAATTGTGTTTTCCAATTCAAAAACTTGTCTTCCCCTGGTTTCTTGTTCCCACTGCTGGTGACGATCCATTCATTTGATTCAGGTGTGTTGGACCAGGGAGGCATTGAAAGGTTGTAGCATGGAAGCTTTTCAGGATGGGGTTCAGGAACCCCTTGTGTACTGATTTATACCCACATATTGCTTTCACATTCTGAAACAAAAGTCGAACCTTTCTCTTAACATGATATACACAACAGTAGCTAGTTTTTGTTCATATTCATATCACATCAAATTTTTTCTTCTCTAACAAACAGATTTATAGCTCCAATCCCACCACAGCAATAAACTCGTGAAACAATCTTGAGTTTCTGCTTTCTATTCCTCAGGAATCTGACTCACAGCCGCTGGACGCCTCAGGTTGGCTCCGCCTCCTGCTACATCGAGGATCTCCAAGTGGGCGTGGTTAAAAATCTCCAGGGAGACGGACACTCAGCGTCGGTTGTCAGGACAGCCATGAGTGCAGCAGAAGTTGGAGAGAAGAACAGGAACTGCATCAACCAGCAGCGGCAACAGGTAGAAGCTCAACAGACGACACATTAAACATGAACCGATATAGAAAGAAGTTCTGACTCTCTCCCTCTCTCTCTCTCTTTCCTCTTACAGATTCAAGCTCGTTCGGCCTCCTCAGACTGCAGCATGTCGACCTCCAGCAGCCTGAGGAGGGACTCTGTCCTTTGCAGCATCTCTCAGCTAAACGGTAACTCACTGAACTCTGAAGCTCAAATTAGAAAACTTTAATCCAGATAAATCTTTACTAGAACTCCTGTCCTGCAGGGGGCGCTGCACCCAGTATTCCTGTCTGTCTGCAGCTCACAGAGGAAGACCTGGAGGCCTCCAAACTGGACCCTAAACAGGTTTTATGTTTATTTAGTCTTCATCTTCTCTTCTTCCTCCTCACAAGGCCAGCATCTGTAAACATCTGTGTTTGCAGGTCCAGAAAAACCTGAGAGAAACTTCTCAGGAAAACCTGATGGAACATTCTCAGAAGCAGTTTGGATCAGCACCGCAAACCTCCAACCTGCATCACAGTGTGGAGGTAAAACTTCTCAGTTTCTCTCAGTACCTGAGGAATTGATACTGAACTGTGTAACACCTGTTCCTGTTTGTCCTGCAGGCGACCAATCAGGAAGCAGCAGGACCCTCCTGCTCTGTCCAGCCCCTCCCCAAGCAGCAGAACGTCCCCCAGAGGCCCACCAGCCTCCATCTGCTCCCCAAACCCAGCGAGTCCCGGCTGAAGCTGGGAAGGCTCAGGTCCACCCACCGACAGGTATGACACCCTGTGATCTCATTGGTCAGAGAGAATCTATTGGACCAATCAGGTTCATCTGTATCCAGAGAGCAGAGAGAGATGATGGGGCTGAATCTCTGCAGGAATCCTGATGAGAACCTCATCAAATTTACAAATCTGATGATTAACACCATAAATCAGTAAGATGCTGATCTGCAAAATAAATATATCCAAATATTTGAAATAATTGTTAGTTGCAGCTCTACATCAGGTGAACCTCCTGTCCAGGTCTGTGTGATTCATTCTCCTCCAGTAAGCCTGGATCTCCTTTGTTCCAGGTGGAGACAGGTGTGGCTAAGATGAACCAAGTTATCCCATCTGTGGAGGCACACCTGGTTACCACGGTTACCAACATGAGGGGCAGCGCCGCAAACGGGACTGAGGTCCTCTGTGCCTCCAGCAGCCACAGCTCCGGCGTTCCCGTCCTGGTGACCAATAAGACGAGAGGAGGAGGGAGAACCAACCCTGCAGGGCCGCAGGAGGATGAGGGGGATGAAGGACGAAGAGGAGGAGGAGGAGACGGGGACAGCCGACTGAACCTGAATCTGAACTTCAGTCCTGATGAACATGAGCCTCTGCTGAAGAGAGAGCAGCTTCCTGCTGAGAGCGACCCTCCTCATCATCATCATCATGGTCCATCGAGTAGAGCAGGAGGACGAGGATCCAACTCCAACAACAACAACAACCGCCTCCCGCTGGGCTCAGAGTTCCATGTTCCTGCAGAGGTCAGTGTTCCTAAACCAGAAACAAGGAACAGTGAACCTCCTCCTGCAGGCTCAGTTATTCTTTCTGGATTAGAAATGGTGTCGGTTCATCCTGAGGACAGAAGTGAAGCCGCAGATACTGAAACGTGTCAGAAAGACATTAAAACTCCAGCAGAAGGAGGCCAACAGGAACAGAACTCAGTTTCAGAGGCATCAATAGCTCCTCTGAACCCGTCGCTGGTAGAGATTACAGCTACAGGAGCTCCACCTCTGGACCTCTCCAACCTGGAAACTAAAGATTTGGATCCTGCTCCTGCAGAAAGTCTGGCATCAGAGCCCGTAGAGCTGCAGAATCAACATTCAGAAGCTCAAACAGCCGGTCTGTTGCTCAGGCCGACTAAAACCAGGAGGCCGGAGCGTCCATGTTCCCTGGACCTGTCCTCCTCCTGCATCTCATCAGGTGGGTCAGCATGCTTCCTGTGCAGAACATTCTGAGATAAAACCCTGAAAATATCCAACTCACCCACTTCTCAGAGTTTGTGGTTCAGATCTGCAGGAACAAGTCAAGTTAATTTGTACAGCACATTTCAGCAGGAAGGTAGTTCAAAGTGCTTTACTCTAGAAAAACATTATACAGTAACTAATTATAAAACAAACAATAAATTATTTTTATCCATCATCAAAATCATCAAGCAAATACACATCAAATATATTCATGTTTCAGTTATTATGAGTCAAAAGCAGTTTTTAGCCTCTATTTAAAGGAACTCAGTATTTCAGCTGTTGTGCAGTTTTCTGGAAGACTTTTGGACTTTGGAGGCCGACTTTGGAAAAGTCTTTATGTGGCTCTGAAGGTTCAGGTCCAGTCCAGATTTCACTGGTTTCTAGCTGCAGTAACTGAAGCTGTATGCTGACTCTAGATGGTTCCTCTTTTGGCCCAAAGATAATATCTTCACTTATTATGAGCAGTTTCTCCTCCTGCTTCCTTATTCCCTGCTCTCTTCTTCTCAGATGATGTTTCTGTGATGGATCATGGCAGTCTGAGCGCCACGGGTGAGAAAATCAAGCGCCGCGTGAAGACTCCATACACCCTGAAGAAGTGGCGTCCAGCATCCTGGGTGGTCTCCTCAGACAGGGATCTGGACCTGGAGTTTGAGTTCAGCAGCGGTCAGGTCCAGGTGTCGTCTGGTCCACTCAGAGCAGGAGGAGCAGCTATGCCCAGAATCAACCAGTCCAAGTCCAGCATGGCCGTGTTTCTGGTCGGAGGAGGAACCACGGCGACCACGACCTCCGAGCCGGATGGGATGACCCAGTTCTGAGAAGCCTGCTGCACCCAGTGGAGATGTTTCCTTTTTTTTTTTTTTTTATAATTTCACTTTGGTTCTTAGCAGTTAACTATTCTGAATACAAACAAACCATCTGAGGTGGAACAAACCTGATGGAACTGATGCTGTACATTTAGAGGGCATTATTTGTGAAACTCTTCAGATAGAGAACAGGAACTAGAATGATCTACTCTGTGTGCTCAGCAGGGGGCGCTGTGCACTACATCCTACAACGAATAGGAAAAAAAGACAACAAGATGCAGAAAGATACATAAAGAGAAATCTACAGGATTTTCTTCTGTAATTTTTAGGCATTTTTATTCTCTGGAAGCAGAAACAAGTTCTTCAGATGTTTCCCTGGATATCATATTTAACAAAAATAGCATCTGAGAGCATTTTAGGATCCTTTTGAAAGGTTATTTTATAGGAAAAACATCTAATCCTAAACCCTTGGTGCTGATGAGACAAAATGGAAGAGCCCTTTTTAGATTAGCCTTCCAGCTGGTTGGTTGTGACCTGCCTGCATTTTCCTTCTTATGTCTGTCACCATGGCAACACACCGGACACACAGCCGGTCAGACATATTTCATTATCTCCACCATTATGGACTGAATAGTGTTCATAAAGATGATTTAAACAGTTGGATGCACTGAGATTCACTTTCTCTGATGTCCAACAGCAGCGTAAAAAATATTAGTCACATTCACACCTTAAATGTTTGGCTGCCACTTTGATAAGTTTAATTTGCACATTTTCCTCATCTTCAGGCCCAAATCAATAAGCACAATAACAAATCCCTCAAGATTTCTGTATGGAAAGAGGAGGAACTGGTTAATTTGGGTGTGATGTCATTTCCTGATCCAAATTTTATCTTTTGATGTAAATCAGATCTTTGCTCACCAGGTTATCTTCCTGCATCCTTTTGGTATTCAGACTAATAACTGGAATATCAACATAAAATAATTTGTGATATGGCACCAAAAGGAGCACAAAGACACACTGCACAGATTTTCAGACATAAAACTGGATCAGAATTAAACAAATTAACCAAAACCCATAAAATTATTATATAAATGATAATTTCACTCAAAGGCTGTAAACTTCTCTGTTGATTCAGTTAGTGGGAACAGAGAGGCTTTCATCCAATCATGTTTTATTTCTTTAAGCACTTTAAGCACAGAGTTAGACTAATATATTGTGTATGTGGTTCAGTTTTAGCACAAAGAGCAACTAATTTAAGAAGTTCTCACTGAAACAGCAAATGTTGATCTGCAGCTGCTTTCTTAACCTGTCTGCAGTCTGGGTCAGATGGTCAACAGACAAGTCTTCTGTTGGAGAATCTATTTTCTTTTCACTTTTAAAAACTGGCCATAAAGAGCCACAGAGAAGCAGGACTGAAGTCTGAAGACAGAGGAATGAAAACGACAGACAGGTTCAGGTTACGGCTCAGATCACAGCAGGACTGAATGAAAATTAAAACATCAGAGTTGTCGGAAGACAGAAGAATAAATGCAATCTTTTTGGTGAACTGTACCTTTAAACAGCTGCTATCTTGCCCCATCAACATCGTCTTCTCCTTGATGATCCATTAAAGACCTTTAGAGTTCAGACCTGATGTGATTTGAAATAGTTTTAGTCTATAAGGTTAAAATCTTTAATCCTTCAGATTCTAGCAGATCTCATTTTCTATCATGTAAAAAAACAAACCGGTTTCCAACAGGAAGTTTTTAATGTCCATTTTTCTAAAACAGGAGTTAGATCTTTTTTTTAAATATATATATATATAAAAAAACAGCAGAACATGAAACAGATTTCAGTCCAGTTTCATGTTTTCTTTGAGCTTTTTATAACGGAAGCTCTGCAGATGCAGGAGACCTTTTCTGCAAACTGTGGCTGTTTTTTATAGAAATGCCTGCAGCGACATGTTACATTTATTCACATTTCATCTATATGAACTTGTTTAAATGTGCACTTGCAGTAAATTAGCAGCATTTAGCTTTTAATAATGGTGTCAAACTGTTATTTAAGATCTGAAGATGCCTTCTTAGTTGTGTTTGGTTATTTTTGTATTTTATACTCTTTGTACTGTTTTTAGATCCTGGTGTGTGTGAATGTGTGTGTATTCTGAGAAACTGTTCCTGTTTCATTATACATGCATCGGTGGATCTGCTAGAAGACTGAGCTGAACTTCAGGGCCAGATTGGTTCATGGAGAACTGAAGCTGCTCTTTCACCCAGGAGGAACAGGACTTAATGAAGGAAGACTTTTTATGGGAGCGATGGTGAAGGAGCTCTGGTTTTACTGGTTTTACTGGTCCAGGATGTGTCCAGCTGCAGCAGCTGTCAGTCATCATCTCCCTCCCACTAAAAGACTCTGAAGCTAATTTTGTAACCTCCCTCTGTGCAGCTCTTTCTGCTGACAGATGACTGCACATAAACTGATCTGTCATTTGCTGGATCTTGGAAAGAAAGTAAAGTTCCATCTTCATCACAGTAAACTAGAATCTCACTGGGAAGTTTGCTTATTTCTATAAAAAGTGAAACCCATATATTTATTTCATACACAGTTATGTGTGTATAAAGTGTTTGTTTCTGTTTATTTTGAGGTTTATGACTTACAGCTAATGAAACAACAAAATTCTGCTGGTCTAAAAATAACAAATAATTTTTATACACAGTAATACTGGCTTACTGGAAACCATTGTCTATTTGAGATACAGTAAATGACTCTAATTCTTGGTCTGGGCTCCTTTTGCATTAAGTTCTGCCTCAGTGGGGTGTGGCATGGAGACAAGCAGCCTGTGGTTCTGCTGAGGGGTCAGTGCATCTCAAACGAGGCCATCAGCTCATCTGTATTCTTCGCTCTGTCTCTTCTCTTCCTCCGAAAACTGGGACCTTGATTTCCAAATTCAATGTAAACTTTTCCTTCATCTGAAAAGAGAACTGAGCCAAAGTTCAGTCCTTTTCTCCTGACGTTGGTTTAACACAAAGTTTCCATTCATGTCTTGAATACATCTGTATGTCAGGACCATGAAAATCATGTCTTATGTCTTTAATGAGCTTCATTTTGTATCCTCTCAATGCTCTGGTTATCTTTATTGTTTTTCCACCTTTTAGTAGATTTCTTTCTTCCACTACACTTTGCATTACCGTTCCTGGATACAGCACTCTGAACAGACTGCTTCTGAATCTTTTTAGTTTACTCTTCCTGTGCATTGACTGTCTGCTGGTCAGTTCTGATAGAATAATGTACATATACTTTTTCTGATACACTAAATTTGAGGTTTTCATTAGCTGTAATGATAGTCATAGTGTTCAAAGTGAACAAAAATAAATGCTTGAAATATATCCGTATGTGTATAGATGAAAGTATCGTCTCACTTTTTTAAATTTGTGAAATCAAGTAACTTTTCCATGATATTCTACAATATTGAGATGTGACTGTAACTGTCACACTGTGCTGCTAATTAATTCTGTATGTTAGAGAAAAAAAACATTTTAAATAGATAGCAGCCAATCAGTGTGTGCATTAAGTTTTATTATTACAAAATGTAAAAAAAAAAAAAAAAAAAAATTGAAAAATGAAATTTTCCAAAAGTTTATTACTTGTTTTCAACTGAAATTAAATCCCAGGTTGCT